GTTCTTTTCAGAGCTCTTTCTAATTATCTCACCAAATAAATGAATGTTTTGGGCCACTTTTTCCTCTGAAAAGAATAATTCAAGCAATCTGAGAGCTTAAGCTGAAATGTCATTGACCAATGCTGAGGAGACTCCTTGTCATTCAAAAACATCCTGTCAAATTTCATAATCCAAAATAAATTTAGAATTACTATGTAATAAACATTTTCAATAAATAAAGAGTGGTGAAAGACACTTGTATCCTGCTACCAAATTCTAAAATTAACATATTTGACCTTTTTCTGATATCAAAATTGACTATTTGCAAATTACTAGGTATGGCTGGAGTGCTATTCTCATGCATTCTTAATGATTTATCTATATCTCAGTCTTCAAAATGATATCCGTATCTGTTGGCAGATAAGTAATAGTACATTATTTTTGTTTCACTGTCACCTAATTATTTTCACTACAGATTGGATTATAATCAGATAACCAAGTATTATCCCTTTACTCCAACTTTTTTTAAATTAAAACAATTTCTTAGTTGAATAATTTTGCCAGGTGTGTGTAGTACGTAAGTCAAATCAAAACTGGGTAAGCCTTAAATACATTAACTATCTCAACAAAAATTAAATTTAACTTTATTGATAACTGTTTATAGGTATGACTTGAATTATGGTAAAATTACAGTTAAAACCAAGTAGCAAACATGATTTTATTTTCAAATAAAGAACAAAAATGCCTGACCAATTAAACCACAACAACTTGACTTTAAACAGATTTCCTCCTTATTGTGCCAAAGTTGTGTATGGCTTNAAAAAAAAAAAAAAAAAAAAGCACGCTAATATGGAAACGACACAATGCTTCTTAAAACACAAGTGATGCCTAGGGACCCTCGCTCTCCCTTTAATGATCCACTGCTCTCATTCAGCTGTCTTTCTTTTTTCAAATCTTTACATATATGACAGCTCTCAAAAGTAGACCATAGACCATCTGGCATTTTGAGAGGTGTAACTTGTGCAAATTCAGCTCTATTGGGAGCGCACTGCTATCTTCTGCCTGCGTTATAAAGGGACAATAGAATGTAGAACTTATGAGTTGTTCTGAATTATTCATTTTTTTGCCTGTATATTCAAGAAATTTTACAAACTCTGCATTTTGTACTACATAATCACATGCGTTAAAGGTACAAAGAAACTTTTTGACACCTCTTTTCTACAGAAAGCTGGCATTTTGTTTGATATGTGAACATTCAGCATCTGTTATATCATTCTAAACAGGATGGGTGCTTCTACAAAAGATCCTATTTTAAATTTACTCTATAATACTAGCAAAAAAAAAAAAAAACCATGTATTCTTGATATTCGGTAATGAATGCAATACACATCAAAATTTCAAATACCACTTATAAGAACATTCAGCATCTTCAAACCTGGATAGCATTGGTCACCCGCTTACCATATGTGTAAAAATTTGGAAAAAAATAATCATTGCTGACACAATGCAGCATGATTGTAATTTTAATATCTATGATGAATAGTTACAAATGTCTTAAGAAATACTGTGCTTTCTAGGTTCAAATGTTTTCAATCAGGAAGGAAACCAATAGAATTAGGTCTAGCGATTTTCAATAAGAATAATAAATATGGGAGTAAATGAGTCAATAGCATGAACTTCTTTTGATATACATTTTTTAAAATTGGTGATATTGTAGCTAGTAATAACTATGCTTGAAACCAAAGCTGCTGGAGTAGCAATATAAAGCAACATTTTGCTATAACGTATAATCTATTAGCATGTGCAAATCATCTTCAGCTACTGGTCTCCTTACACAAGTCAGATTTAATAAGATTACAAAACAATTCTCATGCTATTCAGTTTAAATGGTTGTTGTACACATAAAAAAATCAAAATTAAATGCTCAGGATGTAAAATTGTCAGTAACAAAACGTTCAATGTAGAATATGAAGGGGGAAAATGACTTGCTGTAAAACTAAATGACTTTCCTCAGGGATAGCAACAAAGCCTTATCTGGTGCCCAGAACCTTGCCACTCCATGGTCACAATGGGACAAATATACACACATACAGATAGTGGAGGATATATATATGTAATATATATCAAATATGATATATATAATAAGCATATATATATAACAACAGCTTTAAATGGAAAATGAAGTTACTTCAATATGCACTAATATGATAAAACTATCTTTTATATTGCTATATAATGTGAATTTAGGCTAAAATCAACCAAAATAAACATCCTAACACCCAGCTTTTTTCATCAAGTTGATCCAAATATTTCTCAATATGGACACCGTGTATCCTAATATTGACATAGTCTAGAAGCTCCTGGCACTTTCAGTATCTGTTTCTTTAGTTCCCCTGAAAGGGCCTTCTAATTTTTTTCTTTTTTCCTTTACCTCTTGAGCTTCTGGACTCTTTTATGAGATCATATTTTCCATCTTAATTTTATTTGATGTATATATTTAACATACTGAAATACATTTTGGGATCCTGACATTTTCTGGAGCATTGATCAATTTAAGGATCCCAGTCAAATTCTGTAACGACCTGGCTGGGAACTCGCAGAGGAGGCAATTGTTTTATGATTATATCATATCTTACAGAATTTTTAACATTAGTTCAGTTTTAATGATTGCAAAATAAATCTGCAGATGTCAACAGGCAGTACAACTCCAGATTACAACAGGAGGTAGAACCCCACCCTCACCAAAGAAAGGATAAAACTTTAGAGGTTGTTTAGAGAGGCAATAATTTTTTTGCATTTCATAAAGAACATTTAGAGAGTACTTAAACAGATTTAAATAATATATGGAGTGACAGACTCTTCTTCAAATTAATTTTCCCAGTTGTCCTAAGTACATGGCTAGTCCCATTTCCCAGTTTTTCCTTGCAGTTAGGTTCGGCTATGTAGCCATGTTCTCTCTAAAAGAATGAGGGCTGGAATTATTTCTGCCACTTTTAGGACTGGGCTTTAAAACCTGGGTGTGCCCTCTCTACTTTCTTTTTTGCAGTTGGCAGCAAACCAGTTTTGATCACAGTTGAGTGAAATCTCTTAAGGGATGCTGGAGAGAAAAAAACAAAAAGAATCTGCATGGCAGCAAGGAGGGGAGCCTCTCTCACTGACCTGCAGTGCTCATTTCCTACTGTTCCATAAGGAATTCACTTTTATCCTATTTAAGCTACAGAATTAATGTTGGGACTCTGTAAAACATTAATAGCACCTATCAAGGCCTATTAACAACTATGTACTGTGAATATATATATATACACACACACACACATATATTCATATATACATATTCATATATACACATATATTCATATATACATACATATTCATACATATATATCTATGATACATAAACTGCCCTTTGCCCAAATGACTCAAAATATGTCAAATTTCACAAGAAATAAATGTTTAAATGATGATCAGCTACAAATATAAACAATCTATTAGTAATATATAAACAAGCTCTTAATAGCAGTAGAAAGAATGCTGCTTAATCCACAGCTACAGTGGATCTTAGAAAATAGGCAATCTGAACCAGGCGCAGAGCCCAGTGCTTTGGGAGGCTGAGGTGGGAGGATTACTTGAGCCCAGGAGTTGGAGATCAGCCAGAGCAACATAGTGAAACTCTTGTTTCTACGAAAAATTAAAAAAAATTAGCCGGGTGTGATGGCCCATGTCTGTAGTCCCAGCTACTCAGGATACTAAGTTAGGAAGGTGGTTCGAGCTCAGGAAGGCGAGGTTACAGTGAACCATGATCAGACCACTGCACTCCAGCCTGAGTAACAGAGGGAGATCCTGTCTTAAGAAATAATAAAAAAAGAAAAGAGAAAAAGAAAAAAAAAGTTGACAATCTTTACAATGCAAGGTCTAATTATTAATGAGGTATGATAATGATATAATGTAGTTTTTTGTTTTTCTGTTTTGTTTTTG